TGTGCTGCTCACATAATCAGATTAGGGTTCCTGGTTGTAGGTCTTTGCTCCACCCAGCGGTTGGGGGACTCTGGTTGACAGCGGCTCTGCTGTCTTCAACACGAGGCTTGCAGGGTCTTCTTGGGTGAAACACAGGCAGAAATATAGCACACATAGAGGGGCAAGTGGGAGGGGGAAAAGGAAGAAGAGCAAGGAGCAAGAGAGAGCAACGGCACGCAGAGATGCTCCATGCAGGTGAGAAGTTCTTCGTTTCTTGTACTAGTGCCTGGGACACTGAGGTCCCATGAAAAGGGCAGACCAAGATGACCGTGTGAGTTTCCCACATATTTTTAGTTTTTACCCGCGATTTCCTTCTGTGTTACCTCGTTAACACACACTGAGACTACCCTTGAGACTGAAAGGGTTTTCATTCCTTGTGCAGTGATTAGGAGATGACTCTACCTCAGGCCCAAAGTCGATAATCGGACGAGGGGAGGAAGTTAGGATTGACAGGCACTGGCTGGGGATTACCCATTTGTGTTCAGAGGAACCATTCTTCCAATAGATTCGTTTTAGCTGGGGATTCTACTCTCCATACTTTTGTGCTTAAAATGCAGGGAGGTAAGGAAGTTATCATTTCATACTGAAACCGGAGGAAGTGGTGTTTCAGATGTGAAAACTAAAGCTCATGAGTATTGAAGGATCCTTGACAAATCAACAGAAAATTTAGAGTACATCCAGGACTCACACTTTGATCACCCAGAATTCAATTTCGTGGTTATTTTGGACCTTTTTTTTTTTTTTTTTAAAAATAAGAAAGCCAGAGACAATTTATTATCTAAGTGTCATTATGATCTCAAATCTTCTGCCAGGTGAATTATCACATGATTTCATAATATTTTTATTTATAAATTCTTGTTTTTAAGCATTGCCCTTTATTTTCTAGATCCCATGAAGCAGGTAACAAAGGAGGAAATGAACCTGCTTTAGGAAAATACACTTAGAAAACCATAAGGAAGAATTATGAAACAATGAACAGTTTTTCTATGGGAGATTCAATTTTTCATACGTTTGTCAATTAGAAATACTGTTTGGCTCTAGGTGATCCATACTGCACATACTACATAATTATTAGTGTAGGATATCTGCTGTAATAGCTAAATGTGCAGTGTGCAATGACTCAGGTATGGCGGAAGTTGTTTTTTGCACCCAAGGAAGTTTCAAAATGGCAGGACAAATCTCCTTGTTGACTGCTGGGGGTCAAGTTGGGTAAAGGGAGGTGCTGTTGCTTTCAGCTTATGACTTCCATGAACAACCTGGGTCTGGACCTACCCTGCCCATAAGGGAGGTAGCATGGCAGAAGTCATGGAGCAGGCTTCCCAACAGCCTATCTCACTTTGGTACACATTCCTTGGTTGGAATTCTCACGCACTAGCTAATAAGGAGTGCGGGGCTGGTCTCTCAGATGTGTGGCATAGCTGTGCGCTCAGGAAGAAAAGGAGAATATGAGTTTTAGAATTTAGAGGGTTGTCTGCTAGTGCTTTTTGAAGATGCAATTTAAGTTTTTTTCTTTCTTTTTTTCCATTGTTGAATATAACACATTTTAGTGTAAAAATGAATGATTGATGTTTTATACACTATAATTTCTTCGGAACATGTAGAGCAAGGGATGAGTTCATATTCCCATAGGAGTTCAGCACTGCAGATTAAAAACAGAACTATCTAGAAAACTGCTGAGCTTTTTTTTTGAAACAAGGTCTTGCTGTGTAGTTCAGGCTGCCTTAAACTTACTCTGTAGCCCAGGCTGGCCTCGAACTCACAGCAATCCTCCTGCCTCAGCCTCCCTAGTGTTGAGATTACAAGTGTGTGCCTGACTAGAAAACGGCTGCACTTTTGAGATCAACATGACTTCTGCTTGATTGCAGAATTTGATTCTTTAGAGGCTAATGAAAAACTGGCTACAACTTTGCAAATTGTGTTCCAGGTTCTAGCACTGATAAATTTACTGGCTGTCCTCTTCATTGCTTGCACCTGTAGTTTTCAGAGACAGTAAACTTCTTTCCCTGCCCCCAGATCACCAGCACAGCATGCCGTGTGATGATTAAATAGAGAGGTTATTTATGCAAAATGTCATCATCTGACATTGGCACTTTTGCACCATTTCGTGCTCTCAGAATAAGTTCTTCCTCCAGGGGAACAAAAGGCAACTCTCCATCTTGCTAGATAAAGGTTGATACCTCCTGCTTGAATTGACCTTTTAAGTACAGAATTCCTGCTATGTGTAGCTGTGATGCATTCCTGTTCTCCAAAATGATTTTATTACACATATAAACCCATTTAATCCTCAAAATTATATTGTCTGGTGATGAAATTTCATTATTTGAGGAGTGATATAGTGTGTTGGAGACTTAAGTTTTGAGGTTGGGGTACTCCCCGGCAGGCTGTCCTGTGTGCTCTCAATCAATTACTGTTATGGTTTGTGTCTGGATGTCCCCCCAAAGCCTCATGTAGTCATGGGGAGGGCTTCTAGGGCTTTTGCTTGATTCACGGTCCAATGCTTTGATTATGGGTGTGAGTGCTACATTCAGCCTGGGGCAGACAGCCTGCATACAATAGAAGGGAGGGAAATAGGCTTGCTCTCCTGCTCCTCCCTTTCTGCTCTTGCTGCTTTTGCTGTTTTCTGCCTCATGTACCGTTGCCCTCTGCTGTGTGCCACTCTGCCTTCGAGCCAGCTGAGTATGGACTGAAACTTCCACAGACTGTGAGCTAAATAAACCTTTCCTTCCTTAACTTTGGGTGGCGGGTATTTTGTCTCAGCAATGAGAGAAAAGTGACCACACAGTTACCAACATATGACACACTTCCTCCCAGAATCAGAATACATCAGATCTGGGACACTGTTCAGCAAGGTAGTCAGATTTCTTTGATTAAAAAGAAAAAACAAAAAGCGAAAACCAGTCGTGCCACTTAACATTCAGGCAGTATTTTACTTACCTGGACAGCAAAAGCAAGAGAACAAAGGTACTAGGTCAAAGGTCATCAGCATCAAAAATAATATATAAATAGCAATAGTATTTTTAAAATTTATTTTAAAAAGA